GAAGAAGAAGAAGAAGAAGAAGAAGAAGAAGAAGAAGAAGAAGAAGAAGAAGAAGCCTTTAGTTTCAAAGGAAAGAGCTAGGGCTGATGACAGGAAGTTATAGGGAAGAAGACAGTGGCACAATATGAGAAAGAAATTTCTAACGTTTAGATCTGCCCCAAAATGGAATGGGCTGTCTCGGTAGGTAGTGGGATCCCCATCAATGGAGGTTTTCAAGCAGGGATTGGATGATCACTTTTTATAGAATGAATATATGAAAAGATAACTAAGACTAGCATAAGAGGGCTACATACCAAATGAGGATTTGACAGATGAGAACCTTGAGAAGAAGCACCATCTGAGGGTTTGAAATCGAGGAGAGGAAGAGAGGAAGGCATAGTTGCATGGGTACCTTAAGAGTTCATGGAAATATACTTTAAGAAATTCAAGTAAAGGATAAGTAAAATCCCTGGACTAAGACTCTAAAAGGGAAGAAGACTCAAGAGGAATAGGCAGATCCTAGAATTTCTCATGCAATAACCACAGATGATTCTGCTGAACAAGAAAAAGGCAAGGTGTCTACAGAATCCATTGTGGCTATACAATGTGCTCACTGACAAACTCACATTTTCAAAGGATACATATAAAAGACGGAAGCAAGGTCAGGTAGCTAAGGACACATCCCAAAAGCGGTACTTACATAGTCCTATAAGATCAAAGGCCAGAATGAACTGAGCCTTGTGATAAATGCTAAGGATGTTCAACAAAAAAACTTTTTATACATACTGGGTGAAAGAGAAAGAACCCAGGAGGACTGGGACTACCATTTGGGGTGGATGGTGGGGTGATAAAAGAATATGGATCATGGAATCCTGAATTCAGAGGTTGAAGGGAAACCGGAGGACATCAAGTCTAACCATTTCCTTTTACAGATGAATAACAGACCCAAAAAGGTTAAGAGACTTCTCCAGGGCATGGTAAGTGTTTGAGGTAGGATTTGAACCCTGCTTCTTCTGGTTGTCCTATGGAGAAAGGATCATAAGATCACTGATTTTGAACTAGAAAGGATCTCAGGGTTCATCAAGTCCAACATCTTCATTGTACAGATGAGGAAATTAAGGTGTACAAGGGTCAAGTGATTTGCTCACAGTCATACAGTTAGTGACTGTCAGAAGCAAGATTTGAACCCAGGTTCGTGCCTTATCCACCATGCCATGATGCCGCTCAAGAAGGAAGAATTAATGAAATGTAATCTTATTTTTTTTCTCAACCGATAAGAAGGATTTTCAGAAAGGGAAGAAAAGAACAAAAATGGTTGATAAGAATCAAAACTCAAAATAAAAGAAGAGGTGGCAAAGAGGAGATAGCTCTAGGATTCTGTGATTCAATGACAGCATTATAGGAGTTCAGAAGACCGAGAAAGAGAAAACTTCTAGATCATGTGGGCAAAGAAGTTTTCATGGTGAAGCAGCAAATGTAACCCGAAAGGAGAGTGTTTCAGCCTATGCAAGAGAACAAACTTTCTGAACAACCTACATACAGTTCTTGAAAAGTGCCCATTCAATTATACACAATAAACTGTTTTTCTATATTCATTAAAGCAATAACCCTAACTAATTCTACTGGGCAATTCTTTGATGGTCTAATTCCAGCAACTGTATGTACTTGCAGTGACAAAATTTCACTTCTCTAAAAATATTTCATAGGTCAGGGTTTGTGCTAATTCAGTCCACGTTATTATGGTTTATGCTATCACCATTAAAATTTCACTGAGAACCAACAATGCACTGGGCCCAGGGGAGAATAACCAGCCAAGTTCCCTGACCAGCTGGCTTACAATTTAAATAAGCTACTAGACATAAATTCTCACTCAAGGTTAATAGGAGAGAGAACTGCAGAATTCACAGCAAAATTTAATGTCAACAGATATGAATAAATCTGACATAATACCATTTATTTGCATCAGTCAAAAGGGTGAAGCTAAAAAGAATGTCTGGATCCCACTCTCGCTGCCAGGCAATTAAACAATCTATCAAATAATTAACAATCATTTAATAAGTGCCTACTGTATGCTCTGTGGTGGGCGCTGGGGACACAACGACAAAATTCAAATGGTCCTTTCCCTCAAAGTGCCTCACATTCTACTGGGAGAGACAATATGTCCTTATCTTATAGGACTATGTAGATACAAGATAAACACAAAATAAATACAAGGTAATTTGGGGGTGGAAGGCACTAACAGCTGTTTGGGGGGAGGAGTGGATCAACGAAAGGCCTCATGTATAAGGCAGCCCTTAGGTTGAGCATAAGGAAACTAGGGATTCTAAGAAGTGGAAATGAGGAGGGACTGCATTTCAGGCATTAGGCATTTGAGAAGCTTACAGGGCATTCTATTTGAAATATCTAATAGGCAGCTGGAGATGCTCCACTGTAGCTCAAAAGAGAGATAAAGGCTGTAATGCATGAATTCATGAATCCCAGATGAAGGCTGGGATTCACCTATACTGAGACAATAACTAAATCCATGGGACTTGATGAGGTTACTGAAATAAGAGTATAGAATTAGCAGAGAAAAAGATCCAGGGCAAAGCCTTGAGTACAATCATCATTAGGGGGTGTGACATGGATGGTGATCTGGCAAAAACAACCAACAACTGGTCAGGCAGATAAAGGAAAACCAAATGGGACCTATGTCACAAAACTGAGAGTGATAAGAGTATCCAGAATGAAAGTACTACTTAACAGTGTTAAATGCTATAGAAAGGTCAAGGAGGAAAAGAGCTAAGAAAAAATATTTGGCAACTGAGAGATTGTTGGTAACTTTGGAGAAAGCACTTTTGTTGAGTGATAAGGTCAGAAGCCATTATGCAGAGGGTTCAGAAATGAGAAAAGAAATGGAGGCAATGAGAGTGAACAGCATTTTCTAGGCACTTGGCTATAAAAGAAAGGGAAGACACAGGATAATCACTTAAGCAGCTAGCAGAGTCTAGTGAAAGCTTTTTTTTAAGGGTGGAAAAGATGTGTATTTTTTTTTAAGGCAACAGGGAAAACACGAATAAGACAAGGATTGAAGATTAAAGAGGGAGGGAACATGATTAAGTGGGTGATTTGTTGAAGATGATGGGAGGAAATGTTCTTAAGAGAACATGTAGAAAGACTGGTCTTGGCAAAGAGAAGAGACAAGTCATTAATGGAAAGGGGCAGAAAGGAAGAGAAGGTAGGGATGATGGCAAACTGTGAAGTTTGAGGAATCTATTTTGACCTTTGTAATTGCCCACATATTCAGAGAGGAGTTGGTCTTGGCGAGGAGAAGAGTGACATTTTCATAGAATAGATGGGTTTTGAAGACACAGAAATGAGGAGAAGAAACTCTCCCAGTCACAAGGCTTATAATTTTCCCCATTTAAAAAAGAAAAATTCTTATAAACAATAATTAAAATCTCTCTTCCAAATAGTAATAGAAGAATTAATGAAATCTTAATAAAATACTTGCTGAACTGAAATTAAAAAGCCAAGGATTCAAATTTTTAAAAAGAGAATAAAATACAATATAATTAAGTGCTGGCACAGCTATGGCAAGACAGGCATGCCAATACTACACTGCTGGTAGAATTGTGAATTGGATCAACCTTTTGCAATATGGAAATTTTATCTCCCCCCAAGTTATAAAACTATTCATTCCCATAGATCAGTGGTCCCACTACTGGAACTATATCCAAAGGAGGTTGTAAGCAGAAAAAAAAGACCCATTAATTAAAAAATATTTAATAATAGCAAAAAACTGGAAACAAACTAGGTGTCCAATGATTGGGAATTAGTTGAAATTATGGCATATGAATATTATGGAATATCACTGTACCACAGGCAACAAAAGATATGAAGATTTCAAAGAAATATGGAATCACTTATATGCGGTGAATTTTAGGGAATAAATCAGAACCAAAAACAATATACACAGACCACAACTATGTAATTAAAGGCAATAATAACAGCCATAAGTCTGTGTCAAATACTCAGAAGAGGAGGTCAAAAAGGATCCCAAAAACAAGTAGGATGATGTGGTCCCTACAGTATTAAAGACATACACAGTTCTCATTCGAAGTAATTGACCAGCAAATAAAAGAGGTTTATGGACATATGTACAGTCAATACAATCCCTCTCTTTTTTTTTTCATTTTGTTTATTAATTTTTCTTACTTCTTTTCCCTATGTCCTTATTTATATACTGGAATGTCTGTATTTATCAAGTTGTTTAAAGAAAAACTTTTTTTTTTTGAGTGTCTTTCCTAACATCTCTGAGTGTACAAAATCATAAGCATAGAACCACTAACCTTGTCAACCACTCGGACATACAATTCCTGAATATCTGATACGTGGATTTCGGCCTTTGCAGGTGCCGGGAACGCCAAACACAAGTCGTGAATCATGACTGTTAACATTCCTGGGAATAATGGATACACCTGAAATGCCAGAAGAAAATCTTATTTTATGTTTTGCATGATCACACATGTATACCTATATCAAATTTCTTCCCATCTCAGGGAGGGGGAAGTTAAGGAGGAAGGGAGAACATTTAGAACTCAAAATTCTAAAAAAACGAATGAATGTTAAAAATTGTCTTGATATTTAATCAGGAAAAGTAAAATATTATTAAAAAAGAAAATTTTATTTTAAAAATGCTGCAAGGCTTCCACCTTCTCCAATTAAATACTTTCTCTTTTCTAGTGAGAACTAGTAACACCTCAGTGACCGGGGCTATTTCATCCAGCTCAGTCTACTCGAGCAACTTTTGAAATCGATTCTGAAGACAGGGAGGAAGCAAAGCTTGACCCAGACATCACCCTTCCCACCATTTTCCCTGAACTTACCTATCACAAGAGACTCCAAACCTTATAATCTCCTCATAAAAAAGAATACTTAGCAGGGTTAGCCCTAGGCATCACCATAATCATAGATCAACATCATAATTATAGCCAATATTTACATAGAAGTTTGGTGGTGCCATAGTGCACAGAGCACTGGGCCTGGAGTTAAGAAGACCTAAGTTCAAATCCAAACTCACACACTTACGAGGTGTGTGACCCTGGGCAAGTCACTTAACCTTTGCCTCAGTTTCCTCAACTGCAAAATGGGGATAATAACAGCACCTACCCTGCAGGGTTGTTGTGAAGATCAAGAGATAATATATGTAAAATGCACTGCCTGGCACACAATAGGCATTATATAAATGCTAATTCCCTTCCCTCTTCTTTTCCTTTTATGGATTACAAAGATTTCTAAGCATATATGAATACATAATACAAATATGTGTGTATAAGTATATTCATTTGATCCTCACAACAATGAAAAGTAGTTGCTTTTATTCCTACTTTGTAGATGAAGGAACTGAGGTTTAGAAAAGGTAAGTGACTTGCCTAGTGTCACACAGATAGCAAATGTCTTAGACTGGATTTGAATTCAGATCTTCCTGATTCCAAACCTGATACTCTAACCACTGTGCCATCTAGCTGCCTCAGTAGCAGCAATGGTAGAACTTATATTTGAATAGCACTTTACATTTTACAAAATGAAGTTAAGTATAGTACATTGTTATTTCATCCTCATAACAACCCTGTGAGATAAGTAGCATAAGCATTATTATCCTCATTTTATGGATGAGGAAACTTACGCTTAGAGAGAAAACAGGGATGAGATCTAGAAAAAGTATGGCAGTAAGCTTTAATGGAAGAAGTAGGGTGCAGAGCCTCCAGAAAAGATAGATCATGGTGGGTATTGCAGGGAGTCACTATAGATGGCAGAGAGACAACATGAAGCCCTTGGGGGTGTAGATTGGATTGGATTGGAAGACATCATGTAAAAATGAGGATGGAGGGCCTATCCTTGACAAACCTTCACTGCTTCACCATTTTCCCATGGGTCAGGCTTGGTACTAAAAATTAGCCTATGGATGAGGCCAAGTGTCTCCGGCTATACCAGGCAGCCTTCATAGCCCTTAAAGGAGCTGACCAAGGTGGAAAAATGCATACTTCACTGAAGAAGCTGCCTCTCTTCCTCCCCCTTTCTGCCACCCAGGGTTAGTTCATTTCTCCAGGCACCTTTCAATGTTCTCTAATTAGAAGAAATGACTCAGGTTTTCTTCTATTCACACTAGAATTACAACCCAAGAGGCCATAGAGTGGTGGCTGATGAATCCTGCAACATTCATTTACTTGATAAACTCTTATTACTGCCTATGTGACCAGCTACCTCGCACCATGTAGATGATTTCATGTGACTCCTTTCCTATTATGAAATGCTAATATTGTCTAAAATTACAATTATTTTAGAGCTAGAAGGGACCTCAGCTATTATCTCATCCAACCCATTGAACATTGTATTTGATTAATATCTTGTTTTTATATCATCTTCATTTTCTAATATGTCTCTCTCCTCTTCCTTGCTCAAAGAGGCATCGCTTATAATTAGTAAAAGGAATCAGTACATGAACCAAGTCTGACATCATACACATTGTTCTATATCCATAGTACCCCATGTCTGCAAAGAGAGGTGGGAATAACATTCTCATATCTCTTCTTTGGGACCAAGCTTGGTTATATTGTCCAACCAATTTTTAAGGCCGTTTAAACTGATGTGTCTTGTCCAAAGTTTAAGAATCTTAGGGTTGGAAGATTATCTAGTGTGACCCCAAACTGAAGCATGAATTTCTTCTATGACATTCCTGCAAAGTACTTATCCAGCCTCCACTCATTTATCCCTAGAGATGGGCAATCCTTTCCATTTTGGGACAGCTCCCATTGTTGGGAAAGTTTATTGTTGTCGTTTTAATAACAAGCTAAAATCTACCTTCTTATAACTGCCACCCATTGGTTCTGGCTCTCCTCTCTGGGGGAAAGCTATCCTTCTTCCATACAGTCTTTGAAAGAATTGTATAACTACCAAGTGCCCAAGCCAACACCAAAATACAGGTCTTCTGATTCATAATATACCATCTCATTTCCAAATTCTCTCTCACAAGAAGCCCCTTTGTCTTGGGGAGCTTAAATGAAGTCATTCCAGGTGTTCAAAAAATGGACTAGCTGACCTCTAGATCTGTGACTTTACACGTTGAGATTTCTTGACAGGCAAATCCGAGCACTCTCAGCACCATGTATGACTTCTTTTGAGACGGCTGCACACTATGCTCTGAGGCCCTCCTTTTCACCTTAAGGTCCTGACTTAAATAGCTACTTTCTGTAACCAGACAGCTCACTGTCACTCTGGAGGTGAGATCTTCAATGGAAGGTCAGTAGATTGAGGGTACAGCAGGAAGTGCTTTTTCAAAATATGCCAATAATGGGAAGATCTAATGTCAACAGTCAATCTAAGGTATTAGCAAGGCCATCTGACAAGATGAAAGCAAGTGCAGTTGACTCAATAATGCAGCTGGGTGGATGGTGCTTGAATCATTTCACATAATGGTTTAAAGTATATGAGGAAAGGTCCCCTAGTGCATATCATAAGAAATAATGAGGTCTCTGTAATGTGAGCCCTCACCACAACAACCCAATATTAAATATAGACTAAGAAGCCAGGCCCAACTACCATTAGGTTTCTGAATTGTCCAAGGGAAATTCACAGGGCCTATTACATTTCTGAAAGAGAATTTCTTTAAAAGAATTACCAGAAAAAAATGGATGGAATGTTCTCCCTCAAAATATAATTTGAGAACCCAATTCCTGAGACATTGCAAAAGCTGCCACATCATTAATTCAGTCAGATGCAGAGATGCTCACTGGAACATGCCAAAATTATCCAAGATACACAAGTGAGTTAAAATGCCAGCAGGACCACACAGAAGAAGTACAGGAGGTGCTTACTTTCAATGGAGCCGCTATGTAAACTTTAAATGGAGACACAAAATGAAAAACACAAGAAACTGTTCCTCCTAGTTAGTGCAGCAATTTCTTGGCAATGAGATTTCAAATCATCTTTCTGCAAGCAGGAGCAAGAAGATAGGTGTTTCATACTCATTCATTTTTTCCCCTAATTTACAGTAGAATTTTAATCTGGGGGAAAAAAGTCATCGTTCCAAATGAATTCTAATTTCTAAGTGTTGAAGGTGCCACCTGAGAATGTCTCTGAAGACTAAGCCTGAGGGAAAATCCTGTCATCTCTTCATGGAAGATGCATGTATTATTGCTTTTAATAATGCTGCATCCAATAGGCAAAGTGAAATGTGGAGTTGAGATGTTCTGAGATGCTGATTAAAATGGAGATAGTGAGTCAATCATTCCTGCTCCAACCCCAATGCCTTTGCCCCACTATTAGGGTTCCACTTGAATTACTTCACCTTCCGTTTCCCTGGCAGTGAGTAACACTTCCTACTTGCTCCTTGCTATTCAGCATTTGTAGACAAATTGGGAAATTCTAGTTTCTTCAACTATAAAAAATTTTAAATGTCATTGAAGCAATCAGCTTGCATTTTCTATATTGTTGCTGAACTCCTTCAGTGTTCTTATAAATCTTGCATGATAGCACCAGAGCTTCAGTGCAGATAAAAGTCTAGCTCTGACGTCACGACTTAGCAGTCCTCAGAAGTCTGTGGGGGATAATACCAGGAATGGCTTCTACATTTTCTAGTCCGGTGGGCAATCTACCGCCTGGCGCTCACAATGTTGTGTTTATATGAAAATAACCCTGAGTCAGAAAGGTCTTGGTACTGGCATGAACAATAGCTCATCCAGCACCCTCAGAAATGCTGAGAAGGTTTCTCTGGGTGGGTATTAAGATTAAAGCTAAGTTATTATGCATAATTGCTCACTAACTACACAATTTTCTACTTCCCAGGCTTTTTTTTCTTAATTAAAAACACCACCAATTTTGAAAAGAAAACTTAGGCTTGAATCAGCTATAAATTTTCTTCTGCAAACCAACAATAGGAATAGGGACTGTGATTTCATTAATATAGGGAACTCCCAACCAATGTTGGTTGGCACTGTCTCAGCAAAATATAGGCTTTAAAAAGTTGCCAAGAATGCTGATTGGTTAAATGCTTTCCCAGGGTCAGAGTCAATATGGGTCAGAGGCAGGTCTCTCTGAATATGAAGCCAACTCTCTGTTCACTATACCATGTGGCCTCTGACCAAATAATAAGGTATTAACAATATAATTGATGATGATGATGATGATGATGTTGATGAAGACAGTGATGACAAAGGAAGGTAATCCCCAATGCCAAGCATGGAACAGTGGGAAAAGCACTGGACTGAGAATCAGAAAACCTGTGTTCAAATTCCAGCTTCGCCATCAACCAGACTTTTGTTTGTGACCTTGAATTTTGCTTCACCAGGTCTTAGTTTTTTGTTTTATTCCAATGGGTCCCCTCCTAGTTTAAATATTCTGTATTCTGTGATTCTTATCCAGCTCTGACATTCCATCTTCTAGGGTTCTTTTCTGTTTCTGACATTCTGTATCATAAGGGAGAAGTGTCAAACTCACAGTATACCAAAATAGATTAAAATATAATTGGGAAATGTTTACCAAAATTAAATAAAATACAACATAGATAATATTAATTTGTGGTTTTCTAAGTCCATATGCAGCCTGTAGGGATCCATATCTATTTCAGTTGACACCACTGAAAATTTAAGGCACTTCAGGCTTTTCCATCTTCTAAGGTGCTTTTTTTGGGGGAGTTCTTATTTTTTTTAATTCTGCTATTCTATATTCCGAGGTTTCTTTCACTTCTGACATGCTGTCTTCTAGGGTCCCTTGCTCATTCTGATATTCTGATTCCTAAGGTTCCTCCCAGCTCTTACATTCTGTATTGAATGGTCTTTTCCTACTATAACATTCTATGTTCTAATGTCTCTTTCTAGTTTTGATGATGTAAGACTCTTTTAATCATTCCAGTCTCCCCAAAGAGTTTTGGTATTTTCACTAGTTGGAAATTTCTATTACAGCAGTAAAGAATTCTGAGTGACCTCTTCCATACATGCACAAAAAGATCTTTAGCAATGTTTGTATAGCTCCTTTTCACAGGTTCATTGGTTCTTATAGGTAGAAAGGGCTTAGGCTAATTCTCTCCCTTTTTTTCCAGACAAGGAAAATGAGCCTCGGAGAAAAGCAACTTAGACAAGGCCACAAGGCTAATTAAACATGGCAAAGCTGAGACTTAGACCCAGGGTCTCTTGACTCTTTTTACCATACTACATTGCTTCAGAAGTCTAAAGAGATTCACAAGCCATTCGTGGGTTTTGAGTATATGCTGGTAGGAAGTAAGAGAGACATTTTCTTCCAGCTAATTGAAGAGTTGTTGTAGGCATTCTTGTCTCTGTGATTAAGGGAAATGAGAACACTGTTAATTAGCTCCTGAAAATGCTACGAAAATGTGTAAGCTACCTTCAAAGAAAAGAAGTTGTTAGGACTTGTGACAGATTATCAACACCATGTGGGAAAAAAATATATTCCTTATTCTGTGGAAGTGGCAAAAGCCATCTCACAGAATTTCCATGTTCACTTGTAATACTACCTGGTGTGAAGATCTTTCTTCTTCTAATGTAGTCTGATGGGGGTGTATATATATATATATGTATGTATATATGTATGTATGTATATATAGATAGATAGATAGATAAAGATAAATTGATAGATATATGTATACACATCCCATATATATATATACATATATCTGAATATGACACAGCCAGAGTCACTGGCCAAAGAGACAAAAGGGATACAGAGGTCAGGGACTGGAGCAATGTGTGACACATTGTATTCTGCCAATGTATTACCTGTCAACGTATTCACTGGGAGGTAACCAGACCTTAGTGCATAAGAGTGGGATCTCATTGATCCCAAAAGTGCCAAATCTTTTCTGGGAGCAGGTAGGTAAGACAGTAGTAAGTTGTTATTTTGGAGTTAAAGGATAGTATATACACATGTATGAGATGGCAACATGGTATTTGAAGAAACTAGGATTCTCAAAAAAAAAAGGAACCCAGCCAGGTTCTGGTCTCACCTGAGGATACTCATACTTTTATTCTTTGCTAAGCTGGATTGTTCCTGACTAGCCCCAAACGGGCAGGAGGAAGTCCCTTCTGTATTTTCCTTGCTCCTGTCTATCCTAGCCTAACCCTAAGCACCGATGCCCGTACTTTCATCTTACCTTACCTAAAGAGAGAAGGTATTTCAAAATTATTCATTTATAGCCTTAAAGAAAATAAGGTAAAAGCAAACTTTAAAAGTATAGATTCAGTTACAGAAAATAAGAACACTGTATCAGTTAGCCCCAATCTGACTAAATTGGCTTCTAGAGCTTCTGGTGCTAATTGGTCTCATGCCCATTTGACTTGCATCTGGCCTGACTTCCACGGAGAGCCATAAGCATGACTCAGGAGAAAGACACAGGCATACCTCCCCCATCACACTTGGGACCCAACTCCTCAGTTAATATTCCACTTCAAAACTGGGACCCCTCCAACCAACTATGAGGGTCAATCCTCATGCCAGCAACAGTCCTTCTTAGCAGCAACGACTGAACCTTTTCCACCAGGGGAAACTTTGGAAGGCTTACAACACGAGTAAAACACACACAGACACACGCACGTACACAGAGTCCCTACTGACAAAAAAGAGAAGAGTCACATCTTTCATGATACAGTAGAAACAGGTAGCTAGGTGGCACAGTGTATAAAGCGCTAGCCTTGGAATGAATTCAAATCTGGCCTGAGACACTTACTATCTGTGTGACCCTGGGCAAGTCACTTAACCCTGTTTGCCTCAGTTTCCTCATCTGTAAAAACTGGGCTGAAGAAGGAAATTGCAAATCACTCCAGCATTTTGCCAAGAAAATACTAAATAGGAGTCATGAAGAATCAGATACAGTTGAAAACAACTGAATAACTGGATGACAGGCAGAGTGAAAGGGCAGGAATACAGACGCTTTAATTCTACTCCGAGGGCTATGTGACTTCTGGCAAGTCACAGAACCTCCTGGAGTTCATGTTTCACTGTCTTCCCAGACCTAGTCAGAGGATTGCATTGTGGATCAAATGACATGAAAAAGCATATGTCAAAGTAATTTGAAAAGCTAACAGTCTTATGTAAATATAGGGAATCAGCATTAAAAAGTACAGGATTATTTGTGCCTTTAGAAGTGTTTTAAGCATAGAATTCTAAAATATTGTCAGCTTGGTAGATGCAAACTTCATTATATGTAATGAATCCTATATAATTAATAATAAAAATAGCTTTACATAGCACTTTAAGGTTTATAAAGCACTTTACATACATATCTCATTTGGTCTCCATAACAACCTGGAGAGGTAGGTGTTATTATTACTCCCACTTTACAGATGAAGAAACTAAGTCACAGAGAGCTCAAATGACTCGCCCAGCTAGTAAGTCTCTGTGGTAGGATCAGAATTCAGATCTTCCTCCAAGTAAAGTACTTTATTGCCTATGCTACCTACTTGCCCATTAGGAGAACTGACCAGGAGAATTCACCAGGGGAATTTACTTAAATCTGAGGTATCCAGGCTAAGATTTGAGAACAAGTCTCTTTACTTTTTCAAGTTTCTGTCAGTGGCAATATGAAAACAACTCTCCAACAAAAATTTCTCTAGCTTCCTCTCCTTGCCCTACTTCTTTTGCAAAGCAAGGCTGCCTGGGCAGGTCAAGTCTCTGTTAGTTCTCTCCAGGAATAAACAAAGGAAAACTTTTTTCCTGCAGGTATATAATCAATTATTTCATGGTCATTTTGGAGGAAAATGGGATTTCACAATCCTTTTCTCTCCTTATAAAACCAGCATTCCAAATACACAAAGTCTGTTCTGGTAAGATTATTATCTTATATCAATATCCTCAAGGAATCAACGCAACTCTTCGTTGTTTTTCACTTTCGACCAGTTTCCAAGAATCCTGATCAAGGACATCAGTTAGCATTACTCAACAAACACCCACTAGCCAATGTATCGAGTTTCACATGTTGTTTAGAGAAGTTGATCAGTATGCTCTTCTAAGACTGCTCCATCTCTCAGATCTGTCATATACTGGACAAAATGTCAAATTCCTCAGGATCCCAGGTTCCTTCTATAGAGCTAAGAGCCAAGAGTTATACCCAGCCACCCACAAGATGACAAAACAATCAGAAATCAACTAACCAACAAATTATCTATTGCACTCCTATTACATACTTACTACTATTATTATTCATAATAATAATAATAATAATATTAATACTTTCTTAACAATCTAAAACTTTTGCCTTCTTGCTAACTTCTACTTGCTAACTAATTTCTTTTTTTTTCATCTTAAGGAGAAAGAAAAAATAAGGCACATTTTTAGCTTTCAGAATTATTTAGGATTTCTTTCTTGGCTTTTTCTTTTGATGAGAAGAGGTCAGCAAAAGAGAGCTCATTTGCTCAGTAGGAAGAGGAGCTATGGAATGTGTTTTTAAAACAGGAAGACAAAATACTTAGGGGAAAGCTCCCCGAGCCTCAGACTATCCAAACTCCCAACATTTTCTTTTCAACAATGACCATTTGTCCCAAAGAGCAGAATGAATGTTTTTCTTTGCTATGATTTATGGGTGACAGTCACAGGAGGAGCCGTTAACAATAAGAATTTGGGCCAATGTTTCCCCACAGAGAAGAGAACAGGAAAACTGTGACTTTAGCACCATCCATAGGACATGACTATGGGCAGTACCCAAAGTAACCTTCTACAGTTAGGGATATTAAAAATCAACAGAGGGAATTGAATAGCAGACCACAATTTCCCTTCTATTTCCTTTAATGTCTTTAAGTGAAGGATTCCTACATAAATGAAGAAATGACAAAATTAATTAAGTGGCATAGTGGTAAGATAAGATTATAGGATTTCAAATCTGGGGGGCAGGGTTCCCAGCTCTGCTACAAACTAGCTATATGCTCTTTAAAACAAACAAACAAAAATGAAATTGTCTAGGCATGTACTTTTAGCCAAAACTTCTCTGGCATTCAGTTTCCTCATCTGCAAAGGAAAAAGTCTGTATGATAGAAAAAAGCACATCAGACTGGGAATTGGGAGGTAGTCCCAGCTTTGGCATTGTGTTGACCTTGATTGAGTCATTTCCCTACTGTTGGCCCTGTGTGTCTTACCAGTAAAATGAGGGGCATGGAATTGTAAGATCCCTAAGGTCCCTTCCAGTTTTAGCATTGCATGACTCTAATACTCTTCTCTAAACTCACCCACATAATCATGCAACCATCACTATATAAGAATCAAAATGACTTTATTAGAAACTCCTTCCACTTACCATAGCAATGCCTCTAGCTTCTTGGTAAGACACTTTGACAATGTTTGTGATGCTGGTGTTGATGAAAAAGTACCCAGAGCCTTCTTTAATGAGGAGTTCAGCCTATATGATGAAGACACATGAGAGAATCAGGAGGAGTAGATGGGACTGTCAGTCAGATAGCCTCACATGTTAGAAGCCCCCTGGTTATAAGTAGGAGGCTGGAGTTCACATCCTTTCATGTGAATGCAAGTGGACAGAAGAAAAAGCTGGTTTACCTGAACACCAGGATGGTTGTAGATGGTTATATCATGGGGGGTCACTTTCACATCTTCCACAAGAATAAGCTCAATGGTTGCTGAGACAGGCACAAGAGGTTCATACTGAAAAGGAGAAAATGACTCATGAACTTCATAAGGAAACATCCAGGAAGAAACAGCCTCTAAGTTTTAATGGGGCATGAAACTGTGAATGATAACCAAGATTGCAGGGCATAATCAGTATGCCAAAAGACAGTTCTATCAGCTTGACTCCCAATGGATTGTACACATAGTCATTCCCTGAGGAGTGGCTTAAGGGGTCCAAATGCAATGTGGTTCAGTGGAAAGGGCATGTGCTGTAGAATCGGAGGTCATGGGTTCAACTACCCTGGGTGAGTCATTTATTGTCCTTGGTTCTTTGTAGCCACATCTGTAAAATAAGGGGGCTTGAACTAAGGGAACCCTGAGGTCCCTTCACACTCCAGATCTAGGATTTTTTTGCCTCAATTCTTTTATTTTCTCTCTTGTAGACTCCATATTGATGACCTAGTAATAGCAATTCACATTATATAGCACTTTTGGGTTTACAAAGAGCTTTCCTTAGACTATTCTTGTGAAGTTGTAGAGAAGTAGTGCAAATGTTATTTTTTCCATATTTCTCGTGAGGAAACTGAGTCCCAGAAAAGCTAAATGACTTGGTCCAAATCACCCAGCTAGTCAGCGTAAGAGCTGGAATAGAAACCTAAGCCTTTCTGGGTCCCAAGTTCAGCCTTCTGAAGTGCCAAGTTGCCTTTCTACTATATAGATGACCTATTACACCCTAAAGATTATGGGTAATTTCCTGCCTAATACACCTAAATTGAATGAATAAAGAAAAAAACATTTATTAAATGATCATTATGTTCCAAGCTCTGTGCTAAGGACTGCAGATACAAATTGGAAAAATAAACAGTCCTTGTTCTATTGGAGCTAAAAGGAATTCTAAAGAAGCTCAAGTTATCATTGGAGTAGACAATACTTACAAGAAAGTTCAATTTAAGGGCAGACAGAAAGCCCCAGAAATCTTAAAGGTGCTCTGGTGGGGCAGGTGGCAAAGTCAAGATGTCTTTAAGTTACATAAGTGGTAATATGACAGTGCTGGGGGACTGCAGGGCATAGAGACAGGGCAGATGGGAAGGAAGGTCTGGAGGATCTTAAGAAGTGGTGGTGGGGTAGATGATAATGCCTGGGAGTCCTCCATATCATCAGAAGGAATGGAGTTGTTGAATTCTATTTCATTTAAATTCTGTGAGCAGTTAAGCAGCCCAGGCAAGGGAGAAGGCAAAAGGGCAAGGTGCTGCCAGGAGCAATGTTCTTCCTGCCTGGCCATGCAGGGTGGATTCTGGGACAGCCAAGGTCAAGTTCTGAGACTGCCCAGGGCTGGGGGTAGGGAGGCAGAAGATAAACAGGGCAAGAGGCATAGGGCGCTCTCCTTCCCCTACAGTGGAGGCTCTTCCCACCAGACTTCACCTTCCTTCTAGGATTAACCCTGGCCATGCATGGGGCACAGGGATGGGCAACAACAGAACTGATATTTCAGTGGCCAGGCTGAAGGGCTGACCTGTGTTGTGAGCAGATGTCGTGTCTGTTGCCACCCTCTGGCTGTCCCTCTTGAGCTATGATTTCGCTCTGGCTGGATTAACAAAAGGAAAATGCAACCACAGGCTAAGTCAGCCCCGTACTGGGACTGAAACGAAATAAGATAGCTGGATAGCTGGCTAGTGAGGTCTGGGCTCCAGGCCTACTGCTGACTGGGCAGCAGAACCAAAAGCAAAATGTGCTATGCTCAGCCTCGCTTCTGCTTGCTGGGTTGTGGAGGTTGATGTTGGCATTAAAACAAATCCGTATTAGGTCTGCTGTAGAGAAGTGCTTATGAGAGAAATGGACAGACAGACTAGTGCCTTTCAAATAAGGTAGTCTATTAGACAGTGGCCAAAGCATGCCATCGCTGCAAGTCTATCTCACCTTATCCTTCCTCTCCATATCCCAGCTTTCATCATCCCCCTCCCTCAACGAGATAATACATCAGCCTCCAAACCTGTCTTGTTTCTCTTATCCTTCACAACACCACCAAATTAATATTCTTATAACACCACTTTCACCATGTCATTCTCTTTGTCAAATAATCCATTGGGCCAAAGAGAAAATCCACATTTCCTCATCCTGGCATTCAAGATGGCTTCTGAGACTCACTTGGTCCATTCAAGTTTCAATTTGAGTGCGACCTTTAGCCTGTCCAGATTTCTGCTCCCAAAGCAGTGCTAGCAGCCCCTTCCTCCCCTCTCCCCAAAATGTACTTTGCATTTACTTGGGGTGAGTTGTGCTTTCCCTCTCAAGGCTCTAATCAGCTCTCCAGGACTATGTTACAGAGAATGCACTGAGTTGGATTGGCAGAGGGAGCTTCCTCCCCTGGAGGATCCTTATACCAATAACATCATAGCTCCTGTTCCCATCCCTCCATATTTTGTATCTCATCAATGGCATTCATGTTGCTTTCACCTAGAAGAATTTTGTTTTTTTTTTTAAGGAAGAATTTTAACTCTTTTTTTCATTTTTGCTTCTGTATTGCCAATACCTAACACAGTGTCTAGCATATCGTAAGTACTTAATAAATGCTTATTTAAATGCTTACTGAATTGAATTGAAATTAATCATACAATCTCAACCCACTCTTCTGAGAATACCAGTCCTCAAGTGGTCTTCTTTGTATGGCCACTAGGTGGCGTAGGGCATAGAGTGCTGGTCCTAGAGTCACAAAGACCTAAATTCAAATCAAACACTTCCTAGTTGCATGATCCTGGGCAAATTCCTTTATGTCTGTCTGTCTCAATTTCCTCCTCTATAAAATGGGGATAATAATAGCACCTACCTCCCAGGGCTGTTGTGAGGATAAAATGAAATATATGTAAAGTACTTCGCAAACCTTAAAGCACTCTATAAATGCTAACTATTATTATTACTCTCCTTTGAACTCTTAAAACATGTGTTTGTACCAATGATTTGGATATTTAGTCATAAAATGTCCTGCCTTGGGTCTCAACAGTTTGAAAATGGCTCTACAACTAGGTTATAAGCTTCTGGGTTAGAATTAGTCCTTTTCTTCTTCAGTATCACTGCTGTTCCCTCATGGTCTCTCCCCTTTCCCAGTATGGGGCAGTGGGACATGGATTGCTGCTATTCAATAAAGGAGTGTATGAATGAGGACACTGCCCCCCCAGCTACCTTCTTCTAGTGGGGATATACAGCCAGCTCCTCATGTCTCCCCTCTCCAAATTACCCTGTACTTTTGGGGGTATGTATTCTCTCTATATACTTAAGTACAGAGAGGAATATAAACTTCTTGAATATAACTAGAGGCTAAGTCAGTTAATTTTTTGCCTTTGTTTCCACATCATCTGCCTGGCATGTAGTAGATGCTTAATAAATATTTGTTGGTTTATTGATTGCTATTCTGGGATTTGATAGTTTAGGCTGAGGAAAGGCTCAAGTAAGGAAGACTCCCGTGGTTGAGCACTGTAGGACCAGGCCGAGAATGACCGTGTCTCTAACAAGACCTGTTCTGGGACAGTGTGGAACCAATAAAGGATCTGGGTCAGGTGCGTTACTAGGAAATGCTGGGCTGGACAGCACTGCTCCGTCTGGTGCAGTTGCAAGTATTTTGCCTCTCCCCCAGGGTGGCCGTGCCAAGCACATGGTGGCTTCCTCTGGGCACAAAGGTTGGCAGTGCTCCAGTTCCAGAAAGAGAACAAATAAACCGATATGCCAGATGCTGCATAACTAGACAAAATAAAAGTCTGTCCCCTCAGTGTCCCAGCAGCAAACACCCTCCGGATATAGGACTGGAAGCAGAGGAGCAAAGGATGATGAGCTGGTCCCTCCAACAAATGCTACCCAGTGGGCTTAGCTTACTTTCGTGACATCACTTCTTACCTCAAGAACTAATAATGTCTCCCCACTACACCCAGGATCAGGTCCTGTCTCTTCTGTTTGGCATTTAGGGCCTCCATGATCTGACTTAACTTTATTTCCAACTACTACCCATATAACCTTTGTTCCAGCCAAACTGGTCTTACTTTCTCCTATGTACACCACCGTCATTCCTCTGTGTCATTTCTCTTATTGTTTCACTCTTGGAGGTCCCTTCCCCAACTTCTCTGCCTGTCTCAATCCTATGCACCCTTTAGGACCAAACTCAAGACCCATTATCTCTACCAAGACTTCTCTGACTCACTCTGGTCTGCCAGAGGTCACTGCAGGTTCAAAGAGAGTGGCAGCTTCTTCTAACAACTTCCTTTCCTCCTAACTTTTAACCACATCCTGCTTTACATTGCTATCAGTTTCAAATGTGTATATATCTCACTGTCCCCAAAAGATTACCCTTATACTTTCAAGGCCACATGGCACAGAAGGCACAGCATTGCCTCGGGAATCAGAGGACCTGGGTTCAAATCCCACCTCCTATGCTTACTACCTCCGTGATCTCAGACAAGTCCCTTCTGGGTCTATTTCCTCTTCTGTAAAAGGAGGTGTGTGTATGGGGAAAGGGCAGAACAGCTGATCTCTAAGGTCCTTCCCTTTCAGCTCTAGATCTGGGAATTTACAAACTCACTATTCTGGTTTCCCTCATGGCACTTGGCACAGTGATAAACATATAGTAGCTGTTTAGTAAATATTTGAGAAATAATCTAAATGAGAGAAAACATTCCTCAGAGCATTCCCAAATGTTCTGAACTTTTGAAGCTGGGGAAATGAGAATATTGGTTAGGACCTAAACAGGAGGCAAAAAAAAAAAATGTGTGATTGGGAGAGGGGATAATCAGATGCAAACACTTCTAAGGAAGGACAGGTTCAAAAGGGAGAATAGAATAAATGGAAGACGGGATAGGACGAAGGAAAAAATAGTTAGTTTTTCACAACATGATGACTATGGAAGTGTTCTGCATGACTACACATGTATATCCTGTATCGAGTTTCTTGCCTTCTCAATGAGGGTGGGTGGGGAGGGAGGGAGGAAGAAAATTTGGAACCCAAAGTTTTAAAAACAAATGTTAAAGATTGCTTTCACATGCAACTGGGAAATAAGATATACAGTC